CATTCAACCAGTAAGACACACATTTCCACTAAATCCATTTATTCCAACCTGAATTCATTTACAATATATTTGTGTGTAATTGGTACAATTCTAAGCAGTGCTTATATATACTGTGGTGTTATCTGTATGTTACATTATCACTGTCACCTAAAATTTACGAAACATTGCTTATAGCATACTTCAAAACAAGAAATTATTAAAATCTTTTTTTTCATCCAAATTAGGCTCCAAAAATACTACCAAACATAATTATTGGGACTATGATATGTTTAAACTTGATTATAAAAGATGCTAAAACTTTCTATTAAACTTTTAGAATGTTTCCTTTTAATTTTCCTGTAAACTGTGAAAGTATGACTTTAACGTTGTCAAAGGTTTTCCGATTGGTTCACAGGACATGTGTCACAGGTCTTCCGATTGGTTCACAGGACATGTGTCACAGGTCTTCCGATTGGTTCACAGGACATGTGTCACAGGTCTTCCGATTGGTTCACAGGACATGTGTCACAGGTCTTCCGATTGGTTCACAGGACATGTGTCACAGGTCTTCCGATTGGTTCACAGGACATGTGTCACAGGTCTTCCGATTGGTTCACAGCACATGTGTCACTGGACACTGAATGGTATGAGCAATTATTTGTTTACTGTGTGGTTGCCGGCATCCAAGACGATACAACTCTTTCACCACCTGTTGTGTACAATGTCTTCCCCTCACCCCCCTTTTCATACCTAGTAGTGCACCTTCCAAGTTGTAATATTATTGTTCTACATAGGTGCTAGATTTCCAGCCAATAGATCATTTGTGGGTTTTTGGTTTGCATAATATTCGGATCATGTTAATGTCCTGTCACCAGCTGTACATTAACTCATAAATCTTTAATTTACACCAGATGACTACAAAGTTAACACAATTTTGTTGTACTCGAATAAAAATGTGATGTGATTTGAAAATGTTCACACAACTAGAGCTACAAACTAAGATGAACAAAATGGCGGATTTAATGACTTACTCTGACAAAAATATCATGCAACACGAAACCCATGACTAGTCTATTTTCATATTATTAACTAGCTTGACACTTGTTGATAATCACCTTAAGTGAGTGAAGATAAACTGTAATGCCTTCCAACTAAACAATACTTCTTTACATGCTATGATAGTCTTGACACATTTACTGTTCCATATATACTTAAACAAAAAGCTGCATATATACATGTATATCAGAATATAGTATATGATCGTTTAGTATCGTGTTTGTGTTCTGTGAATTGCATTAGTTGCTGTATAATCAGCCGACAATCTATGAGCTTTCTGAAATCTCAAAGACCCTCTACAATGAATGCATAACATTGCTGCACAGGGAACTGTACATTTGATTGCTTGAGTGTCAATTATCCATGATGTCATGATTATGGAAAACGTGATGCATTTAAACTGGCCAATGAATGAAGAGTATTTTACTTTTCATTTCACTGTCCCATAGTACCCAATTTGCTCTATTAGTACACCTCCATAAAAGTAATATTTATAATGTTTTTATGAACAACAAGCGTAATTTTCGGTTAATGTGTGCTTCTAATAGAACAAATATGGTACATGTTTGAATGTATTTGCATTGTTTATAAAGCAAACAAACCATCCATACTTTACACTTGTAGAGCGTCTTGGAGATTCTGGAGAGCACATGGATTCTAGACTATTTTAAAGCTAAATTGAGATCTTCACAGCATGTAAAAAGTTGTCATAGATAAGGCAAAAAAATATTTAATTCTAATCATCTCGCTACTTTTTTTCTTCTGGTTTCTGGCAAAATATTAAAAAACGACCTGACAAAGGAAAGGTTGCTCATCGCATTATTTCTTCGACATCTCATATCAGAAACAAATCTTTTTATGCCAAAATGTAAACTGATAACTTGCAGATCTTTATTAAACTAAATGTTTGTGACAGCTAAAATTAAAGACATTCTGTCCCGGGTATTGTTAACTTAACTGTTTATTATAAGGCCAGACTAAAAATCTATTTTCATTGTATCATATAAGCATCATGAAAATAAGACCAAAATTGTTATAAATATATACCATTGCTAGTACAATTTGGATGACAATCTTTTTTCCCTTGTGGGATTCTTTCAGTTGATTCAAATGAGAGATTTTATTTTAGGTGGTTTATGTGCTGGTACACAAGTTATATTATGTATATGATTTGTTATGAAATGAAAGTTGTCTAATATCTTAGAATCCATGACAACTGCCTCAGGTCTGGGCATAGTGATGCTCTGTAGATCTCTGATTATATTTATGCTATCCTATCCTGGAATCTATACAGTGCTCCACACACTGTGTACCACTTCACTCATGCCTAGGTACCATGCTAGTAATATCTTATTTCCCATTCACGTAACTATGGGATGTCTCACCAGTTATCAGTCTTTGGGGAAGAATTTCAACACATCAGTGAACTACCCATAATCTTGTTTACATTGAGTGCATTACCAATCAGATTATTTGTGAATAGCAGACTGCAAATTAAATTACTTATCGTAGTCTAGCATTGGACCTATGTCTTAGTGAGTGGAATGCTGCATAGATTATGGGCTAATGTTAATCCTTTCACCTAGGTGAGGTTCAGTTTTTATTTTGTTACTTTTGCCAAAGATGAGATACTGTGTTAACTTCACAAACCTTTGAATACCAGAGTAAACTAATATCGTATATATCTCCATGAAACATTGTCAGAGATCTGTGGCCTTCTCTTATTTGACTTCTGATGTAAGACGATTATTCACTAGATTTTAATTTTGTGGACTGCTGAAAATTAGATTAAAACTAAAAATTGCATACGTCTAAGCTGTGGAAAACATACAGGTTCAAAAACAAAACATAGAAAGTATGTTAAGTTTCTGTTTGGGATTTTATGATTTAAGGCCTTAGGCGAGGATGACTTATGAAAATGTCTCCTGCATGACTCCTCAAATGGCACAAAACTATGTGAATATTAGTCTGTTTGATAGTCAAGTTGTTGAGCAGAAATGTGTTACCATGCCAAAAAATCACAAACAAATGGCCCACATCTTTATATTGATAGTGATGGTTATGAAAAAAAAATCGAAATGTAAATTTTTTTTTTTTAAAAACTTTCCAACTGCCAAAGTAAGATACTAGCAAGCATTATTTGTATCTAGGTATACTCTGTCAAAAAGGTATTGGCACACTGTGTGCAGTCATTGTTTTATTTCCTTTTTAAACAGGTATTCACACATGTAGAAAATGATTTTATTGTTATATCATGAATAAAGATTTTTGAGACTAATGTTAAAATGCTCTAACTGTTGTTTATTAGCTCCACTGACATAGTAGAGCTGCTCAAATAGGTGATTGGTCTGTTGTAGTCAATAATTGTATTTTCAACTTCTTGAAAACTACCAGCCTGATTACTTTGATATGTTGTATATGGGTGGACCTCAATCAGATTTGTTCATTTTGTGACAATATCATTTATTTTTAGCGAATATTTTTGTCATTTTTGGTAAAAAAAATAACAATTTAAACTTGAAAATTACCTGTTCAATTGCTTTGATACTTGGTATGTAGATACCTTGAGTGGACTGCCGTTACCATAGATTTGTTCCTTTTGGGACAATATTTTCAGAAAATATTTTTGGTGAAAAATGATATTTTCAAAACTCTAAAACTACTCACTTCATTACTTTGATATGTATTATATGTATACCTTGGGTGGACCTTGATCAGATTTGTTCATTTCATGAGGATATCAATTCTAAATTTTAATTGAATATATATAAATTGTGTCTTCTTGAAAACTACCATCCTGATTGCTTTGATATTTGAGGTTTTCATACATTTTTGTGAACAATTTGAATAAATTGGCATGTTCTTTACACCAGAAGCCAAACTACTTTTTTGTCTGTTAACCACGTTTTGTCTTCTTGGTATTGGTTGACTTGGTTAGTATCACAATATTCTTGTAGAACGAAGAGTGGAGCAATTTCAACCATCAGGTCATTTGTTTTGTCACTTGTTGAGCGAGTTTACAGTTACAACTGCAAACTTGGCAGGAATCTGGTAAACATTGACAGGAATTTCACTTTGTGTTTTCAAGATTTTGACCAAGTGCAAGTTTTACATGCTGGAACATAATGAACATTACCTGTTTGGGATTTTATGATTTAAGGCATTTGTTTCAACTTTTGTTGAAAAGAATGACCAAAATTGTGTGGTTTACTTCACGCTGTAAACATTGATGGGTCATCAATCTGTGTTTATGTTTACAAGACTCTCTTGTTTATAATCGTAATGTCCTCTGATCACTGTATAACTTGAAAAACTAGAGAAATCAAAGTATCAGAACTTACTAACAGTAAGGTGATTTTTATTCATAGCGACGTCGCTTTTTGATCCTTCGATGTTGGCTCTTCCTATCAAGCAGAATTCGCCAAGCGTTGGATTGTTCACCCACCAACAGGGAACGTGAGCTGGGTTTAGACCGTCGTGAGACAGGTTAGTTTTACCCTACTGATAAGTTTTGTAGGTTTTGTTTTTTGTAATCATGTTCGTCAGTTGGAACCTAGCAGCTCACTCACTTTTGAAGCAAAATGTTGAATGAGGAAATGTTTCTTCAGAATTTTTAAAAAACAATTGTAGATCCGAATCAATTGAGATAGTTATGTTACTTATATTCAAAATGTATGCAGTATGAGTTGAATATCAATCTTGTTGAGGTATTGAATAAAAAAAAACAAATTATTTTTTACTTTTCCTTGAGACAAAGAATCAAAACTGATGCATAAAAAAAAGCATGTGGTTATATACTGTCTTCGCAAATTCTACCCACTAACTTGATTTTTAGTGAATTTATTGTATTTTTTTGAATATGAAAATAAGTGCTCTATGCAAGAAAAATTAACCATTAAACCAACTAGCTTTGAAATTTGTGAAAACGACACAAAATGACCCTGTAGAATTACGAAATGTGATTTTAATCTCCTTTAGCTCTGACATTTTAACCCACCAAGCATTTCCTACGAGTGAACCCCCCTAGGGCAACGAAGAACAGGAAGGTCATTGTACTTGCAGGAAATAAATCTATGTCGTTCCGAAATATCATGTGACAAAGTATTTTTACCGTGACCAGACATGTTGTAACAATATGTAACCATTACGTATATGTTTATAATTACAACCCCTAGCGATGGATGTTACTATATTTGATAAACATAAAATAAATCATACCAAAGGTTCATTACTTGGGGTTTACAACGCGCATAGTACTGTAAGGTGACATCATGTCAAGATCCCATTCAAGTCTCATCTCGTAGATAGCGAGACTGGTGCTACGACCTTCTGACATGACAATGTTCAAGGTTTGTAATAAAACAATAAAACATGTATTACCACATTTATAGTAAAAAAATGTAATACATCGAAAATGTATAGAAAATATTGTTATCGTAATCCGTCATATCGTGAGCAGCTATTTTGATAAATCTGGATATCCCAGTATTCTAGTTACCGCGGGCATGCGCATTCGCATTTTTCTGAGTTGGAACGCTTATGCAAGAGCAAGTTTGAAACGGGATCTTGGTATCATGTCACCGTAGTTGCAAACCCCAAGTAATGTACCTCTGATCATACCCATGAACACTAGGAGTACAAAATATGATTTCATCAACGTGAAGTACATTTATTACTGTAAAATCTGTATTAAAAGCTGTAGCTTCTATTAAAATGCAACAGAGGGGATGTGGCTTCTATTAGAGCATCTACACATATGAGAAATGGTGAATATTTGGTTCTCAATTGTTCAAAAGGAATGGGTGCGACTTATATTAGAGTAGACTGGCAAAATCGGGACTTCTTTTTTGTTTACAAAAGGAAATAATAGTTTTTAAGTCTTTTTAGCTTGATCGCGAAAACTAACGTGACCGTGAAAGATTTCTTTTGAGGTCACGCTAGTTTTCGTGATCATGCTTAAAAAGGCAAAATTGACAATTATATTTGTTATGTAAAACAAAAAAGAAGCCCCGCTCTTGCCAGTCTAATATTAGAGATGCGGCTTCTAATACAGATTTTACGGTACTTGTACTCATCAAGTCACTTTTTTGTTGTGAAATTCAGGCACGAGTGACACTGTAAAGCATTTAGCAATTACTCATCAATTAATTTATTCATTGGCACATGGGTAACACAAGTCCTGTGTACTGCATGCATAATGCAGACATCAAATTAGGTGAAACCAGACAGCAGACCAAAGCATTGTATACAAACAGTTCTGAAGAAAGTGTCCCTTGTTTTCTATTTAAGAGGATATTTTGTTGATTAAATTCGACATTTAATGCATGTACCTTGGTATTCAAAAGCAATATTTAATAAATGTAACACTCATCTGTCTTATTGTTAGATTAAAT